AGATGTGTTAAGGCTGTTGCTACGACATGGAGCAAATGTTAATGGATCCCATTCTATGTGTGGATGGAATGCCTTACACCAGGCTACTTTTCAGGTAACTTCTGAATTTATTATTTCACCTTCATGTAAATTGTGTGTTTTAGCTTTTTAAAATGACAGTTCTATGCAGTTTTTGCTTCCTACTTGCCTGTGATTTATGATGGTTAGTGCAGTACAGAAAGGCAGTCTAAATGCTAATGATCATCCTGAATAAGCCAATTGCTCTAGTAGTTGCAGCAGCTTTGGGCTGCAGGGATTATCTAAGTTTTTCAAATGTTGATAGCATAGTTAAGAGACCATCAGAATACTTGGGATATAAATGGATAAGGAGCAGTGGCTTATTTTATGTATAGCAGTGTATTTAGAAACTGATAATTCAGCGTTTGAGCTAGCAAGCTAATTTTGCAGGATTTTATAAGGATTATAATTCCTAGAGATCAGTGTTTCATCTGTTTATGTTTAATGGGCTAGCTAAAGGTATAGAATAATTTGATTGTTTAATATTTCCTTTCCATCCAACAATACACTTAAAAAAAAAAGGCTTTCCTGTAGTGAGGATAAAAAAACAAAACAAACAAACAAAGAGCAATTAGAAAAGAGATACCTTCTATTTTCTTTGTTTTTCCTTATTTAAAATATGAATCTGTGCTTTAGGAAAATGCTGAGATCATAAAATTGCTTCTTAAAAAAGGAGCAAACAAGGAATGCCAGGATGACTTTGGAATCACACCTTTATTTGTGGCTGCTCAGTATGGCAAGCTAGAAAGCTTGAGCATACTTATTTCATCGGGTAAGATTAATCCATTAGCCTTTGCACTGTTAAGATCATGAGTTTTAACTTTGTATCTTCCTGGGGAGAATAATTCTTGACCAGATATAAATCAGGTTGTGAAATTTATGATTTTACGTTAGTGGTAAATAAGAGTATATACAAGTTGATTTATAATCCTGGATACTAAGTGTCTATTATTAATACTAACATAATGCAGCGAACAGCTACTGATTTACCTGAGGAGGAAAATAATCTATTACTAAAGCAGGTTTATTGGCAAGTTGAATGATGGGGTTGTTCTTTCTTATAGGGACCTGAACTAGGCTTAATTTATTAGATAGCTATTTTGTATATTAAATCTTTGAGTTGTATGTTTTGATCAATTGTATGGTTATTTAAATGGGTTTATTTCAAAGCATGTTTATACTTTATTATGTTAATATAATAGCAGCATAAACCTGCTAAAGGTTTCTCTGTGACAGCCATTACACATTCAGCATTGCCAGAGAAGATGGTGTTGAGGTGGCATTCTTACTCTGTGTAACATTTCTGTGACAAGAAAAATCATGTAAGGGCTCTTAAATTCCTCCTCCAAACACTGTGTGTGCTCTCACGAGTGCTAACCTGATAAAGCATGGGTAGTCAAGAGCACCAGTTTGCCATCAGGCAATTAAAAAAATTTTTTTCAATTACAGTTGACATTCACTATATATTTTTTAAAAACATCTATGCTTTTTAGATACCTTCTATAATACCTAGGCTTTTAATAAGTTACCTCCAAATATACAAAACAAAGTTTATTTAGACATCAGAACACGTATTTTCTTATTTGTAGTTTTTTCCTTACAAACCTTCAAATACTAAAGTTGAAATAGGAAGCAAAAGAAACAAACATTCATTAAGTGCCAAATTAAGATACGTTATAAATATTGAGTCTACATCTTAGAGTTGAGAGGAATCTCTAAAATCATTTATTTAAACATATGTTTCTTAGATTAAGAATCCCAGGCCCTGAGTGTTTAAATGTCTTGCCAAAGATAGAAAGTATTTCTAGGTAGAATCAGGGCTTAGACCCAGGCCTTCTGACTTCTCATCTTCTTTCTTCTTCTACATTGTACCTTCCTGAGGACTGTCTTAATTCATTTTATGGCCTCCAGCCCCCATAAATTTCAATTATTAGTGTGTAAATAATATTTAGAATAAAATAGATTAAACTGCATCTTACTGACTCTCCTCATGCCTAGCCTGTCTCCTGGAATGCTAAGCACCTGTTTTATTTTGCTTTGTTCCTTTTTTCTTCTTCTCTCCTCTCTGAATAGTTACGAACAGCAAGTTGAAAAAGTATGTAGGTATGTTTATAATGTAACACTATGTGTTTCTAACTCCTTATAAGAACTTCCAGTGAATTATGTCCTTTTTCCAACTTTTCTACCTGTAATTTTAGAGGGGCTGATTTCTTAGTCTTTCTGATACTTTGAAATTGTCAATCAAAATGAAACATTGCTTAAAATAAGTTGAGTAGGTTTCTTTCTTGACTTAGTGTTTTCTCAGTAATAGCCTCTTTCTGAGGCTGATAATAGGTGAAGCATCCACATTGTATTAAGATTTTACTTGCCTAGACATGTTGAATGTCCAGTTGGAATTTCTGAAGGATCTATGAACTCTTTAACTTGCTATTTATGTTTTGCATAGTTTTTACCCATCTCATGGCTTTGTTTTATTCAAGGTGCATTTATGGAACATTCTTTTAAATAAAAATTAGTACTTTTTACCCTTGATAATTATGAGTTCTCCACTGAGATATATTCCAGAAATTTAAAATTCTTATAGTCATGTAATAGCGCCATACTTAGCATATTTAACACATTAGTTNAAAAAAAAAAAAAAAATTCATTGTAACAGCCTCACATTTATAACATTCACAGTTTACCTTATTTGCTAATGGTGTATGTGTGCACTTATTTATTAAGTACTGTGTATCTCTCTTCTGGCATTCTGGTTTTTTCATTAACTCCTGTAGAATTACTGCCACCTTCATAGCAAAGTTTTGTGGTAGATAACATTCTGGAAAGTTAAGCCCTACTTGTTTGTTCTGTTAATAATATTATACCTTTGTTCATCCTCATTAGGTAGGATTTATAAACTGTTATATGTGCATGGTATTAGACTACACATACTTTGTGCTAATGTTATATTAGATATGTAAAAGAAAGTAGAATAATTTGGTAAATTAGTAAAAGGACACATGATTTTTAGGTATTTGTAGGCAGGCAAATGGTTCCTTCAAAATGTCTATATTGGCAGCAACTTGGAAACCGTTAGTTTCTTTTTTTTATTTTTAACTATTTTGTTTTATTTTTTTAAATTAAGTTTATTAGGGTGACATTGGTTAGTAACATTGTATAAGTTTCAAGTGTACAATTCTATAATGCATCATCTGTATGTTGCATTGTGTGCTCAGCATCTAATCTCCATCTGTCACCATAAATTTGGCACTCTTTACCCTCTTCATAATGCTCTCCCCACCCCCCACCCCTCTGTTTTCTGTGTCTGTGAGTTTGTGGTGTTTGTTTTGTTTGTTCATTTGTTGCTTTCTGTTTTATGTCCCAAATATGAGTGAAATCATATGGTTCTTGTCCTTTTTCATCTGACTTATTTCGCTTAGCAAGATACTCTCAAGATCTATACATGTTGTTGCAAATGGCAGTATTTCATCCTTTCTTAATGGCTGAGTAATATTCCAATGTGTATATGTACACCTTCTTTATCCAATCATCCATCAAAGTATACCTAGGTTGTTTCCATGTCTTGGCTACCATGTATAATGCTGCAGTGAACATAGGGGTACATATATCCTTAAGTTTTTTAAATAAGTATTTTCAATTTTTTCAGGTAGATACCCAGAAGAAGGATTGCTGGGTCATATGGTAGCTTGATTCTTAATTTTTTTAAAAATATTTTTATTGGGGAATTGGGGGGAGCAGAAAAGTGCTGGGGAATTGGGGGAAGGGGAACAGACAAGTTGTTGTCATTTTGTTTTTTAGTGTAGTTGTGGAGGACGTTGCTTCACTGGCCCAAGTTGGCACCATCATTACGCTCTTCCCGGGCGAGGCAGATCAGTCGCCAGCTTCTGGACGGCCCTCATATGTGGGATCCGAACCGGGGCCCTCTGGTGTCCCAAGGCAGCTCTTAACCATCGCGCCACTCGGCCGGCCCCGATTCTTAATTTTTTGAGGAACCTCCATACTGTTTTCCAAAGTGGGAGCCATTAGTTTTAGTTACTATACTTAAATAAAATGCATTTCTTTAACAACACTCTTTAGTTTATCTGGAGTCCCCTTTTAGTTCAAATAAACAAGGTTTTATTGTATTTTCATTGATTGTACA